TAAAACTATGCAAATAGACCACAGAAATTCTGAGTTTATAAATAATAGGTATCCAATTTTGGTGAGCATGTGAAGAAAAGGAAATCCTTTGAATGAAATGTAAATTGGTATTGCCAAATGCAAAATAGTATGGTGGTTTTTAAGAAATTAAAAATAAAACTACCATATGAATCAGTAATGCCACTCCTATGTATATATTTAACCAACTGAGCCACCCAGGTGCCCCAATCCTATGTATATATTTAAAAGAACTGAAATCATTATCTGCATGTCCATTCTCATTGCAACATTATTCACAATAGCCAATATATGGAAGGAACCTAAGTATCAGCAACAGATAAATAGTCAAAGAATGTATGATACACACACACATACACAAGCACACACACATATATTTATACATATTGAAATATTATTCAGCCATGAGAAAGAAGAAAATCTTGCCATTTGTGACAAATGGATGGACCTTGAAGACATTATGTTAAGTGACAAAAGTCAGACAGAGATAGGCAAATACTGTGTGGTCTCACTTACATGTAGAATCTAAAAAATTGAACTTGTAAAAGCAAAGAGTAGAATGTTGTTTACCAGAGGCTGAGAGGTGGGGGAATTGGGGAGGTTTAAGAATACAAAGTAACAACTAGTAGATAATAAGTTCTGGAAGTCTAATGTACAACATAAGGATTATAGTCAGCATTACTGTATTAGAAACTTCAAAGTTGCTAAGACTAAATCTTAGTGTTCTTGATACCCACAAAAATGATAAATATATAACATGAAAAAAGTGTTACTTAACATTATCTTAGTAATCATACTCTAATACATAAGTGTATCAAATGAACACATTGTATGCCTTAAATTTATACAATGTTATATGTCAATTATATCTCAATAAAAACAAAAAAAAAGATATATTTGTAATGCCTACAGCTCCTACTAAGGAAATAAGAATATAGGTAAGACAATTTTTGTCTTAGGAATTAAAATGGAACACTAAAATAACACGTTTAATATAAAAGTTGTCAGGTAACATAGAAGAAGAAATCAAGACACAGACATAGAATAAATAGCAAAATGGGAGACCCAAACCCAACTATCCTATTAATGATATTCGTGTGAATTAAATAAATATTTCAGTCAAAAGATAGAAATTGCCACCCCGAATGAAAAAGTAAGATCCATCTATATGCTTTCTGTAACACACACACATTAGACTCAAAGGCACAAGTAGGTGTAAGTAAAAGGATAACAAAAGATCTACCCTACAGAGTCACCCCAGGAGTGAGCAGAAGTGGCTATTCTAATATCAAAGTAGCTGTTAAAACAAGAAATATTATTAGAAATTAAAAGAAACATTTCAGCATGTTATAAGGCTGTCGATATAAGAGGAAAATAAAACAATTACAACCATATAATATTCATTTTACAACAGAACCCGCAAACACATGCAATAGAAACTGACAGATTTGGAAGGATAAATAAACAATTCAATGAGCACAGCTGGAGATTTAGAGTTCTTCCATCGGTAGTGAGAGAACAGCTAGTCACAGAATCAGAGGCCTATGGAAAACCGTCAAAACAGTAGGAACCAGCTTGACATAACTGACATATACAGAAAGAGGTTTAGGTCATAGATAAGGATCAAATATTTGAAGGATGGAGATATTCAAAGTATATTCTCTGAAGACATAGGAACAAATTAGAAGCAGCAATGGAAAGAAATGTGGGAAATGTCAAAACATGTGGAAAAGTGATACACTTCTGAAAAATGTATAGTTCAAAGATGAAATCTGTCAAAATACCTTGTACTGAATGATACTAAACTGAGACTATGTCGAAACTTTTAGGGTGGAACTAAAGTAGTGTTTAGAGACAATTTGCAGCTTTGTCACTTCTACTCAAAAGGAAGAATGTTATAAAATGCATGATCTGAAAAAAACAAAAAATAAATAAAATGCATGATCTGAGTAGCTTCCTTCTCAAGAAGCTCTACAGAGAAGAGCCAATTAAAGTTAGAGAGGAAAGAAATGGTAAACATATATTTAGCAGAAAGCTGATTCTGAAGTATGTATAGTAGAATAACTAAGAGTAGCCCTAAATGGATCAATACCCAAATATCCAAGAGCATCAGCAGTAGTATGGATGAATACATTATAGTAGAATCAGACAATGGAACAGAAATGAGTTTGGACAATTGAAAACCTCAGGCAACTATATAGATGAATTGCACAAGTTTAGCTTCCCCTGAAAGAGCCAAGAAAGAAAGAACACATACTGTATGATTCCATTTACATAAAGTATTTTTTAAATGCAGGTAAAAATATGAAAGGGGCATTTTGTAGTGCTGGTAAAATTCATTTTCTCATTCTGTGAGATGATGACACTTGAAAATTCAGCCATCTGTTGGCATGTATAGCATTCCACCCATCTGTATGTACATTATACCACAATAAAATTACCATAACAGAATATTTTGAAAATATGCAAACATTTTTAAAACTAGACATAAAATTGAAAAAATCCTACCAAACACAACTTGTGAAAACCAAAGCAAAAAGAAATAAAAATATCAGAAGTGTGTTACAACTTCTAATACAATTTTATCTGTCATTCAGAAAGCTTTTCACACTCAGTTACAGAATATTTAGATGTTTATGAGTAAGGACAAATGTGATGCCAATTGAACACTAAAATGAAACCCTTGAGGGTGGAAAAAAAGGGCTAATAAAATCTGTGTTATGTGCATTTTGATAGGAATACTAAAAAAAAGGAAATTACATGTCAGTGGCAATCATAAATAGATTCTGACAATATGTAAAAATAAAGGACTATGACATAAGTAGATTTATTGAAGCAATACCATGTTGGATTTACATCTGAAATCCCATAGTCATAATCCGTCACATTAGCAGAGTAAAGAAAATCAAATGATGTGACTTCTCTGATGCAGAAGGCAACTGATAAAATTAATATTTATTCTTATTTTAAAAAATATCTTTAGAAAGATAGAAATAAGTAGGAAACATCGATGCAAAGATCTAGAATAGATATAAGTCTGGAAAGAACTATATAAACTTAATGTTTAAAAAAAGACCATTTTTAAAGTATGAGTTGACATAAAAGTACATAAGAAGATTAATGAGACAGAAGTGCAAAATTTATATTCACACATATATGGAATGTAGATTTCAACAAAGATATAAAATCATTCAGTGGAGAAAGTACAGTCTTTTCAACAAATATTGTGGAAAAAAATAGAGTATCAAATATTATTAATAAATATATATTTTATACTGTGTAAAAAATGCTAAAAATTGATCATACATAAGTGTAAATGATAAGATTTCAAGAAGATTATTAGAAAAAAATGCATGACCTAAAGTTGGGCAGACATTTCTTAGGTAGAACACCAAAAACATGATCCATGAAAGAACAAATTGACGAAGTGTAGTTCATCAGGATAATTTCTACTCTTTGAAGGGAAAAGAAAGATAAATCATAGACTTCAGAGAAAATATTTACAAATCATACATCTCATAAAAGACTTGCTGCCAGGATACATAAAGAATTCTCAAAGTACAGTAACAAAAATTAAAAATATAACCAAAATATTTCAATAGTTAACTTCATCAAAAAACATATATGGATGGCAAATGAGCTTAGGAAAAAATGTTCAACACTATTAGTCTTAGGAACACTCAGATTAAAACCACTACAAATCAGACTTCCTGTTGTCTATAGTTTGTGAATGTTCACTGCTTCTGTCTTATATGAATATGACATTTTAAACTCTATTCTCAGAAATTTTCCAATATGGGAGTAAAAATCCAAGTCACAGTGTCAAAATGTATTTGCATCCTATAAACTCAGAAAAGAGCACATATCTAAAATATGACAAGGACTTTTAAGAAGGGAAAAGAAGACACCATCTAGGAGAAATGGGCAAAAGACACACTCGAGCACTTCTCATTCTCACAAAAGAGAATATTCTAATGATTCACAGCCCATAAAAATGGTGCTGTTATATAACCACCAGAACTTATTGTATTAATTTTTCTGAGACTACTGAACTTTGGATCAAGGTACTATTTGGTAAAATGTGTATTTATACAATACATTAGAAAAACATTGGAATAATTTAATAAACTGAAAGCACACATAATTATGACCATGTAATTTCATTCTAATCCTTAGAGAAAAATGTATTATAATTAAACATAAATAAAATTATAATGTTATATTTTGCATTTGTATTTTATGATGATAAATGTAATATTTATATGCTTAAATGTATTATATACTATATAGTTACACATCATTTATAAATTATTTTACATACAATATGTAAAAAAGACAGGGAAAGGCTTTCCATAAAATAATTGTTTATAATACCCACATACTAAAAGGAACAAAATTTCTGAGAATAGATTTTAGAATGTCATATTCATATAAGACAGAAGCAGTGAACATTCACAAATTATAGACAAACGGATAATATAGATGGTTTACAATTATGTGAGAGTGAAAGGAGACACATATAAAAATGCATACTGCATGATTCCATTGATATGAAGTCTAAAAAGAAGCAAAGGTATTTTGTAATATGAAAATTAGCAGGGCTAATAGAGGCTCTAAACTTCTATTTCAGGATCTGATTTGTAATTATGTGGTTCTAGCTACTTTGTGATCAATTTCAAAATTATATACTTAGTTTCTTTGATGTGTGGTAAAATTAAATAGTAAAGTTTATTTCAGGCAAAAGAGCATATATAGAAGCACTGCTTTCTATGAAAAGCTAGACTGGAAATTATCAAATGTACACTGACAGTATAAAATATAAATAAAATATTTAGAGTCAAACTATGGAACATTAGCAGACTTAAATAAACTACAAATACAAATACAAACACAAATACAAAACTATGGGTGAACTCTACAAATTTAATATTATAATATTAACTGATAAACTCTTAATAAAATGGAAACATCTGAAATCTTACCAATTCCTCTTTATCATCTATGGAGAGCAAGTTAGAGTTCTTAGAAGCACAGGACACTGAACTCTCATTCCATGATTTTCTTTCAGTGCTAATGTAATAGCAATTATTAAAATATGTAAGCCACTCTTTTGGACAACAGTGATAAGCTGGAGAAAGATTATGAGATATCATCCAAAAGAACTTTGAATATTAACAAATTCAAATTAATTTACATACTCACATATGTATACACATATCCATGTACACTCACAGGATGGTATAAATAGAACAAAATATGCTTACATACACTTACCAAAGAATGGTCAGACTATCATTCCTTAATTTATGTGTTCATATAAAGCAAACACACAAGAATATCCATCTCTACATGTCCTGAGAGTCACTAAACGAAACCACTATTTTAGAATAGTAAAATGATTTATCTCTTATCATGTTATAGCAGGAGGAAATTTGAGGCAATGGGTAACAATGGATATAGGGATTTGAATGAATATTTCTTCAGATTGTTACATTCAAAGTAATACTCTCCTATAATCATTATTTTTGAAAGTTTATTATATTATTTTCTACTTTATTTTCCCCAAAAGAATCTATTATCATCTTTTCCTAGCCTAAGATAGAGATAAAATAGAAACTATACTAATATCAGAATTTTGAAAATGATGTTGTACCTTTTGGGATCCTTGTTTCCAGGGACGTTTGGTTCTGCTCTGGTCCTTCAGTAACTAGAAAAATTAAAACAATCTTCATACAAACTTAATATTAAACTGAATAAATCATAATGATTTGAGTTTCTTAGTTTGAAGTTTGGTGCATTGTTTAGAATGAGAAAATTCTGTAATAAAGTTGATTTTACCAGTAAGTAATTAATGAAGTAATGAATATGTGGGGGAAAATGTTTCAAAAGCCTGAAGAACCAAACCTCACCCCTTCATATAGTATTTGGTTTATGCAATCTCAAGAATTAATTTGTGTATTTCTCAATAAGGTCTCTGCTATAACTTCTCTTTGAGTCATGAAATCTGAACATATTTGTGATACTCTCTACATTATTGTTATTTCTAATGTGACAAATTTAAAATAACCATTCCAAACTTAGAGCATATATGTATTAAAATGAGATAAGACAATTCCATATCATAGTGCAATATTTCAAGGCACTAATGATCATTAAAGTGAAAAATTCCCTTGAGTCATTCAAACACTTACTTACAGGGAATAACAGCTATTGTGACCACAGTGGACATCAAGACAAGGCAGATTATTCCCAGGATCCCAGCAATGAGCTTTCCTGGGCATGAAGGTAAATAGTAGGAAGAGAAATGAAAACAATGAGAAAGGACGGGCAGAAATTACCCTTTAGGAAATTTAACGTACGAGAGAACAAATGATGCCCAGAGGGTCACAGATAAAAACTTGGACTCCAAACCCATATCTGCCATTGTAATTCTCTCAGAATATACCATTGTATTTGCAGTAAATTTATTACCCTATGAGATGTTGGTAAAGACTACAAATTATAGCAAGGCTGGAACAAAGTCAACTACATTATATTATGTAATTATATCAATTATATCATGTAATTATATCAATTGCAATACTATAGTTGCAACTTCAAGCTCTGATCCTAAGAAATGAAAAATATGGAAGATCTTTCCCTACTCATTTTCTGCACCCCTGCATGCCAACTGCACATCATACTACAGTTACACTGTGTGTATATTAAATGTTTTACCTTTGCAGTGGGAATTCTTGTCATTCCTTTGAAGATCCTGAGAAGCATTTTGAAGATTTAATTCTGCATATGTTATTTCCTGCTCAGTTACTGAAATGGAACTTTTAGTGCCCTTAGCTTTCATTTGCTGTCTTTTTGAGCCCTTAATCTGATTGAGTTCTGCATAGGTAACTCCTTGGTTACTCATCTCTGCAGCTGAGTAGTGTCAGGCACAGTGCTGAATGGAACTGTACTGAAGGACTTGATGAATAGAATATGCAATAACAAGATTGCTAGGACAGTCACACTGGGTGGAGTGTGTGGTAAGTGATAGTATTCATTTGCTGCTGAACAATGTAAAATCTGGTACTAATTTACTCATAGATTTAAAGAAGCATTTCATGATGAAATAAATGGTTTAACAATGATATTCTATGTTTGACACAACAATACTGGTTGGAAAAATGTAAAGCAATAAATTAGCGAAGAAGAAAGGAATTCATGAATAATATTATCCTTATTAATGTAAGTTCAGATTCCACAGAATATTTCAAAGGCAGTAGACTAACTGGGTTAAAATTAAGATGCTGTATTAGAAAAAAATGCTGTACCAACTTTTTGATAGTTTTTAAAACCATTTTAAAATTGAGGGCTCTAAGATTGGGGAATACTAGTTTTAGCACATATAGGAATTTCCTGTAGTATATGACTTTTATTTGGGGATTTAAATTTCTTTTTTTTTTAAGATTTTATTTATTTGACAGAGAGAGACACAATGAGAGAGGGAACACAAGAAGGGGGAGTGGGAGAGGGAAAAGCAGGCTTCCCGCCGAGCAGGGAGCCCGATGAGGGGCTGGGACCATGACCTGAGCTGAAGGCAAACGCTTAATGACTGAGCCACCCAGGCGCCCCGGGGATTTAAATTTCTTTACTAAAAAATAATGCAGTGCTATCAACTGAATTTTTATTTTGAATAATTGGGGAGTTCTAGAAATAATTTAATTTTAAAAGAAAGATTTTATATGTTGAAAAATATTACATAACACACTCAACTTATCAGAAACCCGAACCACATTGAAAACAAAGACCAAAATATATCTTTTAAAAGTACTTATATAACACCAGAAATTGACAATTAATTTAATGATAAAGATATGAAATCATGAAATGATAAAAGTATAGATCATTTATGGAAGAACACTGTTGGTACAAACCACAGAAAGATCTATGAATGTCAAAGACAGTGCAGGTAGCTTTAGTTGTATAAGGAATTCTAATAAATCAAAGTGTAATTTCATAATTCAGTCAATGAGCTGTGCAGTCAGTGAAATCTGAAATACTCTTGGCTCTCAAACTTATAAAGTATGACCTTTATAAAGTTACTTCATGTCTAGCTACCTAGTTTTTACTAATCCAAAATGGGAATTAAAATAAAATATAATGCAGGGGCACCTGGGTGGCTCAGTCATTAAGCGTCTGCCTTCAGCTCAAGTCATGATCCCAGGGTCCTGGGATTGAGCCCCGCATCGGGCTCCCTGATGGCCAGGAAGCCTGCTTCTCCCTCTCCCACTCCCCCTGCTTGTGTTCCCTCTCTCGCTGTGTCTCTCTCTGTCAAATAAATAAATAAAATCTTTAAAATAAAATAAAATAAAATAAAATGCATATAAAGCAGCGTATCTTTTAAACTATGTAACATAATTCATTAGACAGGAGTGTCTTTCAGTATTGAATATCCTTTTTTTGCCAAGTTTTGATATGCTTTTAAAAAAGTCTTTTGAGTGTTTATAGTTAAGTTTAAATTAGCATTTTGCAGAAGGTACCTCATCTTGCTTTTTATGAAAAATCAAATTGTTTTCATTCATCTAAGCAAATGTATGAGGAATTATGTTTGACCGTTATGACTTAATGGACCATTTTAAGAATCTATTTTTTAATACTGGGCTAAATATCAAATAGTATATATAATTATCTATAACTGATGACAAATCCAAATTAAGTGTTCCTTGTTTTGATGCTTATGGCTTTCACTTGAAATTATATTGATTTGCAAACACAATTATGCCTGTGTATATATACTTAATTACTTCTCCACAGGTAAGAATTTGGATATTTTAAGAAGTTCTCCATTATATTTCAAATTCATTTTTGTTTGTCACTCTGAATTGTTGGAATAAAGATACCAATGTTCTCTGTGATTTGATTGTATATTTGTTGTACCTCAGGTGCATCCCATCCAGCATTTGTATCTCCCACTAAATGAGGTGGCTAGTAGAGAGACAGCAGAGTAGTGACACATACCTTCTGTTGGCCAGAGAATTGGGCATCTTCCAGTGGGAGACCAGGTTACTCTTGTAAACAGACAATATCTGTGGTCTTCACAGACTGCTGGCCCTGTGAGAGCTCAGAGTGAGGCAATAGCGGAAAAAGTAGATTTCTCATCAATGTGTCACTTAAAATTTGAACAGGAAATTCTTACAGTTGGGCTATTTTGAAGCCAGTGTATCTCATACACACCTACAGAATGTAGAGACCTTGAGCTTGTAGTGTGTCATTTAGTTGGTACTTTGGCAAGTGCTCCTGAGAAATTTTTATGTTCCAGAAGATAATGGGTCAGAGACTTGACCACCCAGGCTGTTAACTTGCTTTCATCTGAATCACAAACACTGAGAACCTAGCCCTTGTGAAAAATATCTTAGATGTTTAAGTTTTACTTTTAAAAAAGGTTGCTAAATCTTGGCATTACATACTTCCTTCTTATGACCTTGCTATGTCATTTCTATTATACTGAAAACATTCTAAAATCATCGCCCTGTTAACAGGTATTTAATGATATTTGACACTAATTCTGAAGACTTACTACATTTTCAACTTTACTGTTACTGTCACAAAGACATCAATTTCCAAACTTATCTTTTTAAAAAGATCTTATTTATTTGAGAGAGAGAGGAAACACACACAAGTGTTGGGGGGAGGGCCAAGGGAGAAGGACAAGTGGACTCCCCACAGAGCAAGGAGCCTGAAGGAGGGCTCAATCCCAGGACCCTGGGATCATGACCTGAGCTGAAGGTAGATGCTTAACCCCCCAGACTGAACTACCCAGACGCCCCTCCAAACTTATCTTTTCAATTTTTCTGCCTTAGTTTTTAATATGCATGCAATCAATTTTGTTATTTGTAAATAAGTTATTTAGGTTTCTGCTGAAAAAACTAAATATAACAGTGAACAGTATTGAACAATAACACTATACCAGAGATTTGAATATTAAATAATTACTCATATTACTCATTGAGTCATCCTCCAATGATAACAAGTTGTATCTATTTTAATAGGAATATTTGTTATGAATGATAAATGCCTACATCTAAGTATGGAGGGGGAAAATGAATGTAAGTTTTGAAAATTTCACTTAACTGAAAAAATTGGGAGATGGCAGAGAAAGTAATTTTAAAACAACTAAACGATACATGAACACCAAAGGTAAAATACATATATTTTTAAGATTTTATTGATTCATCTGACAGAGGGAAAGACAGTGAGAGAGGGAACACAAGCAGGGGGAGTGGGAGGGAGAGAAGCAGGCTTCCCGCGGAGCAGGGAGCCAGGCGCGGGGCTTGATCCCAGGACCCTGGGATCATGACCTGAGATGAAGGCAGATGCTTAAGACTGAGCCACCCAGGCGCCCCCAAAAGATAAAATATTAAATTACTTAATACATCAATAGAATTCTTTTCCTTTTTTTTTTTTTTACATTGTTGGAATTGATTTGCCAATATTTTTTTAGGATATTTGCATGTATATTTCTTTTGGTCTGTAGTTCTGTTTTTTTTTTTTTGTTTTTTGTAAAATTGGGTGACAATTTAAATTTTATTTTTATGTATTTATTCATAATGATGTATAGTTGGCATACAATATTCTATTAGTTTTAGGTGTAGACATAATGATTCAACACTTAGACACATTATGCTATGATCATCACGATAAAACTCATTATCATCAGTGTAGGAGGGTTCCCCTTTCTTCGCATCCTCGCCAACATCTGTCCTTTCCTGACTTGTTAATTTTAGCCATTCTGACTGGTGTGAGGTGGTATCTCATTGAGGTTTTGATTTGGATTTCCCTGATGCCGAGCGATGTTGAGCACTTTTTCACGTGTCTGTTGGCCATTTGGATGCCTTCTTTGGAAAAATGTCTGTTCATGTCTTCTGTCCATTTCTTGATTGGATTATTTGTTCTTTGGGTGTTGAGTTTGATAAGTTCTTTATAGATTTTGGATACTAGCCCTTTATCTGATATGTCATTTGCAAATATCTTCTCCCATGCTGTCAGTTGTCTTGGTTTTGTTGACTGTTTCCTTTGCTGTGCAAAAGCTTTTTATCTTGATGAAGTCCCAAGAGTTCATTTTTGCCCTTGCTTCCCTTGCCTTTGGCGATGTTTCTAGGAAGAAGTTGCTGTGGCTGAGGTCGAAGAGGTTGCTGCCTGTGTCCTCCTTTAGGATTTTGAAGGACTCCTGTCTCACATTTAGGTCTTTCAACCATTTTGAGTCTATTTTTGTGTGTGGTGTAAGGAAATGGTCCAGTTTCATTCTTCTGCATGTGGCTGTACAATTTTCCCAACACCATTTGTTGAAGAGACTGTCTTTTTTCCATTGGACATTAATAAAATAAAATTTAAAAAAAATTCATTACCATCTATCACCATACAAAATTAATAAAATTGTATTGACTATATTCTCTATATTGTAATTTATATCCCTGTGACTTATTTATTTTATAACTGAAATTTTGTACCACTTACTTCCTTTCACTTATTTCAGCCTCCCTTGTCCCTGCTCCCTTATAGCAACCACAACTTTGGTTTCTTTTTTTTTTTTTTTTAAGATTTTATTTATTTATTTGACAGAGAGAGACACAGCGAGAGAGGGAACACAAGCAGGGGGAGTGGGAGAGGGAGAAGCAGGCTTCCTGGCCATCAGGGAGCCCGATGCGGGGCTCAATCCCAGGACCCTGGGATCATGACCTGAGCCAAAGGCAGATGCTCAATGACTGAGCCACCCAGGCGTCCCCAACTTTGGTTTCTTTATGTGAGACTATTTCTCTTTTGTTTGTTTTTAGATTCCACATTATCAGTTGAATCATATGATATTTGCCTTTCTCTGTCTAATTTCACTTAGCATTAAAAGTTCTAGGTCCATCAATATTGTCAAAAATT